TCGATGTGAACCTCCTCAAGATGATTTTCTAATTTATCTTGGTGGTTATCTTGCCAGATTATTATGTTCTGTACTTTCCAAAGAACCTTTTTTGTAAATGAATTCAACTCATGCTTAGTTTACAACCTTACTGGAAGTGACATATCCAACATTGCTCTTTCTCTTTCTCTGCTGCTGGTTGACACACATCTTGGTAGAGTTCCACGCATGGGGGAAAAAGTCTTTGTTGACACTCCAGTTAAGTGAATGTTTACTGAACAGACCGTTTTCAGGAATACATCTTTCCATATTCTTAAGACTTGTGAAATATATTGTACTGTAATATTTGAAATTAGAAAGAGGAGAGATATAAACTATGAAATATAGATGTATCTTTACATATTTACTTCACAACCAAGATTTCTGTTGGTTCTTGGTTTAGCTATGCTGTGTACCTTTAGAAATATGAATTTTTGCTTCCTGAAATCCAACAACGGAGGCTTCGGAGACGTCAGCAGGCTGCAACTCTGAAAGGAAAGTCTTAAATGGATTGACTGAAAGATAAATTCCAATCAATGGTTTTCCCTCTGGAGTATAGATAAGACATAAAAATGTGCCTTTCCGTCCTTATCATGATTTTTCTTTGCACTTGCTCATTTACATTTTTAGAACTTTTCCCTTATTTTACTTAAATCTAGGAGGCCTCATACAACAAGTTTACGGTTATCTGTTTGGTAAGACTGAAGCGTCGGCCAACATCCATCTCATGTCTTTTTGGCATGTGTTCTCCATAGGCATTGCAAAAAAAAAGCTCATTTTGACTTTACAGTAATGCGTGTTACTGCCCTCTACTGCATCAGAGAGCTATGATTTCTCGGGCAGATGTAGTTTGTATATGCTATGTATATGGCATCTGGAAACCATCTTTACAGAGTGTTTTAGGTGCTATATTGATTGTGCAGATGGGGAGAGACTTTTGGCCAAAAGGTCTCTTATCCAAAAGCTTAGGAGTGCAACAAAAACACACATCCACACTTTCTATCGTGTTTAACCCCTCAGGGTTTCAAACAAATTACTGCCTGAAGTCATGACAAGGACATGCCTTTAATCTTCATACTTATGGGATTGTTTTTCAGCTAGCAGAGGGAAGGTATTTGGATCAGCCAGTATTGGAGGTAAATACATTTATTTAACATTTGATAGAGATAGTTTGGTTGGGAAAATAGATCCCTTTTCTCCACTTCTGCTGGTGTGGTGGGTTGCTCCCATTCTTGAGCACAGGCTGGAGGGAAGGGCTGAGGCTTAAAGAAGTGTCTGTGCAGGCTGACTCTAAGCCCCCACTTCAGAGATGTCCCAGGAGAACACATTTCATGTCAACAAGTGAAGAAAAAGAGGGGGGGAGCAGGGGAGTGTGCAGGAACAGGACTGCTCCTGACTGCTGTACATTGCACCGGGCCGGTTAATGAGGTGTTTTCAGAAAGACTTTGCGTGAAAATGGGGTGATAAGGAGCTGGTAGAATTATGTGCAGTGCTGTTGCTGCCACAGTAGTTCCTCGGCTACAACTGTTGAGCCTTGCATAAGACTGTAAGAGTGTCAAACCATGAGCTGTATCCAAGCTGGCTACAATTCAGCGCTTTGGGGCTCCTGACTCCCTCCTCCAAATATCCCTGTCTTGTTTTCTTCCACTCATCCCCCTCTCCTTAACCCTCCCCCCCTGTTCGGCCTCAGTGGGCCACCTGAGGCAGGATACACGCCAGTGACAGCTTCTGGGGAGATGGACCCATTTTCCCCTCTTAGTTTGCAGGATAGTGTGGGAGAATGTAGAGTTGGATACCTCCACCCAGAGCAGCTCTGCCGATTTTCAGAAGTCGATTTCTTTGGATTTGTTTTATTTGATCAGTAAGAATAGATTGAAATATAAAATGAAAAATTCGGGGATGATTACATCTTTGGAAATATGAACTCACTTGAAAAGTTTTTCTTTTGTGTGTAGATTGTTAAGGAAGATTAAGGAGTCTTCCTTAAACTAAAAAATGATCACTTCATCAAAGAAGGACATCTATAAAAACGGCAGTATGGTGTCTTATCAACACAATAAATGAAAGTATTTTTGCCAATAAATGTGAAAATATTGAATGCAACTCAGGTTTGACTTCTGAATGTGGAAGAAGCTTTCAAGACTGAGAGGACATGACGCACAAATACTCTGAGTGGTGACCTTTTCTGCTCTCTGGCCTTCAACACATTTTTTCATACATATCTTTCAGTACATAACAGATGTCAGTGTGACACCAACAGTTCTGCTTTGTGAGGGCGAGATGTTTAACTTGCTTTTAAGGTTGAATTCACACACATTTTTAGCTTTTGACGGGGTTTGAGTGTAGAATTTGATTGTTTTCAATGAAGAGTTAGGATGTACAGCGTGATTATAATTCCACAGAAAGGCGTATTTTTAATTACTCTCCACAAACCACAAACTCCTGGCAGATGATTTTGTTTATGGTGAGGGCATGACTTGTCGAAAACGCTGGAAGAAGGGATGGATGGCGAAAAGCCTGTCGTACTCATTAAGCTCTGTGTGCTCATTCCTGAGACATTACTGGAGCTACTCAGTATTACTGACTTGTGGTGCTGTCTGTTTGTCTATCACTGGACCCCGTTCTTTTCTCCTTGGTTATGGCAGTCGTTCAGACCAGCATTGCTTGTTGTTTTTTTTTAGTTCTGACTGCCATTCCGAATTATCGAACTTCTAAGCATTATTCCACATTGATCTGCTTTTCCTAAGACATTCAAAAGTTTCGTATTTGACTTAGTAATTGGTTGTAATATTGTGCATATGTTTACATGGTTAGTAAACATATTTATATTTTGATTAAATTTTTTTTTAAAACCGGTATGATGGATGCTATATCTGTAAAACATCCAACATAACTAATAAATGCTCTTCTTCCAAGCGGCTGGAGCACTGACTCACTGAAAAGGCAGAAATGAAAGTAGTGTTTTCTTTCAGTTTACTCGATCAGCTGCTTTTATGCTCTACTGCTGTAAAAGTGAGCTCTTTAGCTGTGATGTAGTCCTACTTTAGCATTAATCCTCTGTCACACATGGCTGATTTTCAGCCAGTCAGTCATGGGGTTGCAAATTCATGTCAGATGTGTTTTGTAGATGTCGTCTTTGTTTTGAAAATGAAAAAAATAATGAGCCCTGTGCCTTCTAAATAACTGCTCAGCCATTGAGGAGACATTCTGCTGCCCTGCGTCTTGCTTTGCCTTGAAGTGGAGTTATTCAAGCTGACACTGATGGATTGATTCTTCAGCAACAAGGTGTTCTGTGTGGTATGTGGTTGTGAGCCTTTGTCTCAAGTGAATGTGCGTGGCTGAGACTGATTAGTTTCCACAGGCCTCGAGAGGGCATTTGGATAAAAATGTATCACTTTGTTACTGCCTTCTGCTTGCAGGCAGTTAGGCCGAGTAAGCTCAGCTTTGACTGCCACCATCAGGCATGCTGCTCTGTCTCTCATGATGGGGTCCAGCTTCAAAGTTAGAAATTCACTTTAATTGATTTTGGCTGGCGATGATGCAAACAAAACTGTTTTCAATCAGTGAGAGTTATATGTCCTGATAAGAGCTTCATTTTATCTTGCTGAACAATATGGAGCTATGGAATGTGAAGACGGTAGCTCCTGCGAAGTGGATTGGGAACCATTCATTCCCTTTTTTTCACTTGCTATACATTGAGCAGCAGAGGAAGAACAGATTCAGATGTGTTGTGTGAGTGTGTTGAGATGGATTAAACCGTTTTCGACTCAGTCATGCATGACTGATGGCTGGCTGATCGCTCACATGTATTGGATTGTGTGCAGGTAACACTGGTGGGGGTGATGCTACGTGCAGTTTGCTGCATAGATTGTTGTGACACAGCTAATGTGTGGACAGAAACTTTGCGACGTCTTCAGACATTTTGGATTAATTCATGCATACACAACTGCCGCCATAACAGACCAGCCTCTCTCCCCAACATGAAATGCACATCCTCTCCTTGATATTGATCTGAGAAGTTAAGAGCTGTGGATATTTGACTATCCCAGATCAATAACTCATCAGGGAAACAGAGTTGAAATTCAATTTTAATCGTGCTGGTCGCAACCTACTTTCCAGCTCCGAATAAAAAGCATTCCTGATTCAAAATATTATTGCAAAAAGAGGATAGAGTTGGCATCTTAACATCATACTTGAAATGGTACACGTGTTGCAGGATTCTCTAAAACAAATTAAGAGACGGTGCTGTTAATTTTCTCTGCCCGTATCACCATTATTGCCCATATATATTGATCTCCTGCCATAGTGTGACACTCATAATTTGCACTGTCTGCGCCAGCACTAATGGCCTCCTGAGTCATCAGTGTGTTTATCTCTTAAACATCCAAGGGAGTTTTATTCAGTTCGGGAAAAATATCCACTTGGAACAAGAGTTGACTTGATTAGATTCCAGTGGTCAAAGGCCAGTCTCACAGTGACCTGTTGTCTGTGTCCTTTTGGTAGAATGTAATACAGTGGGGGGAAAAAAAAGAAAAAAAGAATTTGATCTGGCACCAGTTTCCTCTTGGAATAGAGTTTGGTCAAGATCACATATTGCATTTTTGGCTAGAATACAAGCGCCACTAATGATGATATTTCACTATAATTCGAATATGAATGGCAAGTAATGACATCTATATCCAAACACTTAGAGAGTCCACTCAAGACAGATGGGGATATGAATATTGTATTTGTATAAAGAGAAGGAAAGGGGCACTAAACTTTGCAGTGATTATTTATACAGGAAATAAAACTCTTGGGATTTCCGATCATTGCATAGCGTTAATTAATTATCACTACTTAAAATAACACGTTAAGATAACAAGTTTTTTGAAGATTTAAGATTAAAGATTTTTCTGTCTCTTTGCTCTGTTCCCTTTTAGTGAAGATTGGACACCTCTTCTTGAACAGTTTTCCAGCTGTTCGCTCCCGCCTTTTTAGAGATGAGTGCCAAGTCAGCCATCAACAAGGAGATCTTCACACCTCACGATGAGAAGATGCTTGCTGCTGTTCAGGTGAAGAGGAGGACCAAGAAGAAGATCCCTTTCCTGGCCACCGGTGGTCAGGGAGATTACATGACTTTCATCTGTATCTCTGGTATGGACAAATCAAAGTCTTTCAAAATAGTTTGAAACTCTTATGTTATTTAGGTAAGACTTGTTGTGTTTCAGCAAGCCTTTTTAAATTCTCCCATCATTGTTTATACTAATGAGCATGCTTATGTCTTGTCTGCCAGGAGAATGCTCCACGAGATTAATTAGCTGCTGGGCCCCAGGTCACTGCTGTTTAAATAGATTAGTTTTAAGATGAAACTGAAGAATTGTTTCTCTGGAAAGTGGGCCTAAATTGATTTTCTTGCCTTTGGAACAGGAGCTGGTACAACGCTTTAATTAATTAACCATTTTGTTTGTGAGGATAACAACTAGAGCCTTTTCATTTCGGTGCCCTCAGGAATGCTTATGAAGATCAGTGACATTGCATTAGTCTCGCATTTTTTATGTAGATTAAACTCCTCTGCAGCAAGGTTCAGATTTATTTCTTGTGGATGTGGAGGAATTTAGACGCATCCTAAAGTGTTATAATGCTATGCTAGTGCAGGTGCAAAGATACAACATTTGAGATGAACCATTAGTAAAGTTACTCCACTGAGCCTCTGTTCACGGACAGATCAGAACCACTGGTGCACAGTGCAAGTCTTAAATAAACATAAATGGTTTTGGAGGATTGACACTGTTTCCAAAGGGCTTTTGATGAGTCATTACTCCTCTCATGTGGAAATGAATTTTGTGTGATTTAGCCAACTTGAGTAACTGGAAGATTCGGAAGCCCTCGTCTTTTAGGTTTTAGCATCAGGGTTCATACTTCTCATACTAATTCTGAATTTGAAAGGGAGAAGTGGCATTTTATGGAAGCCTCTCTCCTCAATAGATGCTTTAATACTGAACGCATTACTATTAGGAGCATTATTAGGGGTATTACCATTAGGAGAAAGTAAACTCCTCTCCATTTCTCTCACATACAGTTATGGCAGCTGGGTTTGTTTTTGTCCTCCTCCTCTGTGAGGTGTGGTGTGTGTTTAGGCAACCGCTACTCTGTTTATTGCATCCATGCATAGCGAAGGATGTCCCACCACCTCCTGATATCATTAGGCTGCTCAATTTATTTGTTTACTCTAAAACACTTAAGGGAACCTATCTGACACAATAAAAAAAGAAAAAAAGATCACCATATCGAAGGTTTGAATCAAACTTTATTTTAATGGCTGAGAAGATGTTTTTGGTTAATAATTTACAGATTGACTTCTTGGGTATTTGCCACAGCCTGAGGTTTTAAGGAAATGCTTATTGAAGTCAAAAGGCTGTGGGCTTTTGTCTCCTTGCTTTGTTCACTGCTTATACAACCCAGCTGAGTAGGTATGTTTTCTGAGGATGTATGCAGACTCTGAGGCTGTCTTTTTATTTTACAAAATACTGCCATTCTTTTACTGCTTTTAAGAAATGAAACGCCATGAATGGGTCATTTTTAAAGAAGATTTTAGACATTTATGTTTATTTTTCCTTTCATTCTTTATGTAGGACTGGACCCTATACAGTGCTCCTAAACTAATGAGTAAACTCTGTTGTTTGACATTTACAGCCATATTCATAAGCATTGCATAAATGTCCTGCTTCCCTCTTTGTAGTTTTTGCTTCCGTTTAAACGGTCTCCTGACTCAGCTGATGCTTTGTAACACATGTAGGATTACAGTGGTGGACACTGACAGTCTCCCAGTCAAATGATTAGACGGCAGATAGTGGAGCCCTGACAGGCAATGCCGTGGTGGAGTTATGTAATCTGTAGCATGTCATGGCTAAGGGAAGCCTTCATGTGAGGAACTGTATGGTAGAGACAACCGCAGGCCCTCGGCACGAGACAACAGGCCATTTCTTAGCTCTTAATCCTAGTAACAGATATACAGTATTGTCAAAAAGGTCTTATTGACTGTAATCTAACCAGAGTAAGGTTTAAATGGATTTTAAAGAAGCACATATTTCCCTTACTGCCTCATCGTTTCTCAGCTTTTCATGAGCACCAGTGGGATGACACCAGCACACAACATTTACTGGAAGAATATCATCACCGATTTGCCTCAAGTCAGTCTGCACAAGCACTGACTAAAGCTACCGCAAACTGTGTGGTTTATTTGTTATCTGCACATGGTTTTGAATTTCAGTGTTTTTTAAATTCACTTCGTGAAATTTTGTTCTTTTCAGTCCAAAATGTTTGACTCGGATTCAAAAGCAAACACTACTTATGTTTATAGTAAGACTTCTCAGTTGTCTCTCATCTTATACACACATAGATCTTTTCAGCAACATGTGTTAACGCTTTAACAACATCAGGAGTCTTGATGACAAAGGAGTGTGCTGGAGCATTGCCAGAAGCTCAACATGGACCATGTTGGTGAGTGAGATTCCTCTTTGATCAGGGGGCCTCACGCAGTGGTGCCTTTATGGCTGGACCTCAGGCCTGACCGCCCTTATGATATTTTGGCAGAGGAGATTTTGGGCCAGTTGAGTTAGATAACACACTGTAAATGCTCACTGAAAGTACCCTATATATGTACATGGCTTATGGTTTTCTCTTCTTTTTTTATTCTAGAGAAAAACACTTGTCCCTCCTCTCTTATCCCATTCATCCTCAGATCAGAAATAAAATCCTGTTCCTTTGTGTCTTTCATTGTTTATCTTGTTTTTGATGTAATGTTAACAGCAGCTTTTGGTAGTTTGGTGAAGGAAACAATAAATCCTCTGTTGGTTTCTCAATGCTAATTAGTTAATGTCCTTGTGGGAGGGATAGAGGCGTCTGTAGTTGTGAGTGTTGCATCTCTGAATTGTTTATGCAGGCATGTTATTTTGTGGGTTGGATTGCACGTTTAATTTTCTGCATAGGTCATGGTATTCATGTGGTGGTTATAAAACTGCTGTAGCCTTGACTGGAAAACATCTATTTCTTGAGCAATGCATAAATTACCCACTTGATCATGTGATACACGTACACTTGAACGAGGGCTTGTGATTCATAACAACTGCACATGTTGCTGACCCATCCATCCATCTTGCACCCATGTAACAACACTGATCTCTTTGTTGTACAGACAGAAATCTCTTTATATGTCATAAACAACCAGGATCAGAGCAAAGTACCAGTATGTCTTTTTTCCCCCTAGCCCATCAGAATAAAAATACCACAGCAACCATTTTAAAATTAATTTGACTTCCCTCTGCTTCTCTCCGTTCATCACAAGAGTCTTCGTCGTCATTCCGCCATGGCTCATACGGTCAGATCATCACGTTATTTTAGATATTCAAACAACCTTTCACAGTGCAGTTTTGATTCACAGATTGTTTGGGTTTTAAATAATTTTGGTGTCTTTATATTTGACGCTTAAAAGACTCTAAATTTTGTGACACAGCCAATGGAAACAGTGATCTGGAGATAAACGAAAAAAGTTATATGTGGTTTACAATGTTTTGCTTTATGTAATAAAGAGATAACCAAGCTTACTAACAGGTAACGTATACGATTATAAGTGTAGCTATGGACTCATGTGGTTGTTTATCATGTATCGGGTTGAGATGAAAACTGTGGCTGTGAGGATGACACAGCCATGTACTGACCACCCTAGAATTCTCCAGTTTGTCCTGCATTGGACTGATAAAACTTCATAAACATCCCAGGGAGTCTGGGCAAACGCTTGTTAACGAGCTTTCGCTTGTCACTTGTCACTTGTCGCTTGTCGCTTGTTGTGCTGGTGTGGGTGTTCTGTGTTTTGTTGTGAAGACTGTTACTCTGGGTGGTTTGTAGCAGTAGTGCCTGATGCTGGCCTCCCTGTGTTTACCCGGAGAGACGCACAGCCCCCTCACAAAGGGCCTGAAACCTCAGCATGACTGCATACCCTGTTAAGATGTGTGTGTGTGTGCACGCATGCATTTTATTCTTCATGCCATCCATTCCACAGCCTTGTAGTATTAGAGTGAGCTTTGGCATTCTTTATCTAGAAGTTTTTTTTTTTTTTGCTCTGCTGACATAAATTATGTGGATGATTGACTAACCTCTTAGACATGCACTGCTCTGCCCTTATAATTGCCTGTCTTGTAATGTCAACCTTCTCCTCATCCCATTGCTTCAAATATATCCTGGATAAAATGCAGTTATAAGGAAGGATTTAGGGCTTGAGAGACCTGAGCAGAGGAAATTAGGTTAGAGATGTGAAGGCCAGATAACATAAAGGACAGAACAGATGGACTGGCCATCTCAGTCTATGCTGGTCTGCAAGCATAAAGAAAACATTGTTCACAAGATGTGTTAAATGTCAGGGAAGAGTACAGTGTGATGTATTTCGTGCACCCTCACAAATAACATATTTTAGTTTGATTCTTTATAACAACGGAAATCATTAGTACTGCTAGGACAGACCAGACCTTGACATCTGATTGTCTGCAGATGTTGTTTTCTTCTCAGATTTTACTGCATTCCAATGGCACCTCAGCCCCTTGATATGGATTCAGTGCACTCAAACATTATATTATATTTGTTTTTGGATCTTTGTATTTCTTTTCTTTTTTTTAACATCTCCTTTACAAATTGATTTAACATGTGCCATTTGTTTGATCTGAAAGGACTTTTACCCAACTGAACTTGTCCAACTTTGAGGTGGAAAAAAGGAAGATGCTTCTAAAAGAAAAAGCAAAAAACAGACAAACAAAAAACAGACTAGTTCCATAACCCAGCGTGTTTTGTGTCTGCTGTCTTAAACAGCCCAAACGCACATGCACAGACAGCAGGTAGAGCCGATAGATACAATTCTCAGGTGCTCTTCAAGTACACCTTGTTCGGTGTGGGGCTGTTCAACAGTGACTTCCTCTGTACAGGCCAGCTTGTTCTGCCCAGTATTTGGAGAGTAAGCATGGAATGTGATTGTGTGTGTGTATGATGGGGAGTTGGTGCATTCCCCAGCGATTCAAAAGGGCTCTCTTCACAGTACTTGAGTCTCCCAAAAGCAAGCCGTCCATCATTGTTCTGCATCAGCTCCTCTTATCTGTTGCTACTAAATT